CTTGCATCTTCTGGTTTCAAATACTCCAAGGGCACTCCCTAGAAACGAGATAAGCCGTCCACCCACATCTCTTATACCCAGAATGAGAATTCAAGAAATTGGTCAAAAATATAGTTAATGCTGCTGCCGAGCATCATCCAGTGGAAAGGCAGCTCGTAAAAACATGACGCAGTGTCCTCATCCACCTTAGTCATCGGATCTGGCACCGGGTGACTTCAGGCTCTTATCCAAACTTAAGGATTTCATTGTCAAGTGTGGAGGAAAAACAGTTGGTAGTTGACTGCTGCCAAGTCCCCTCCCAAGTGTGAAGAGGCCTGGCCATGCTGGTGACTGTTGGCCTTTGCAGCTCCTCACCAAGGGACTTGACCTCCAGCTCTTTGGAGGGGACCAGGCCCAGGGCCTCGAGCAGGTCTGGTTCAGGACTCTTCCCGACGTTGGCTATTGGGTGCTGGAGAAACTTTCCCCATCCAGCCTCCCGGGAGTTCCTGTCCCTGGCTCCTCTGAGCTGAGCTCCACTCCATCAGGGCTCTCTCCTGTGTCCCTGCTCTCGGGGTGAAGATGTAGAGGGCAGCTAACCTTTGCTTTTCGATGATTTACTTTCACGTTTGATTACTGACTACAACATGGTTCGAAATAACCACACAGAATGTGATTTGCTCCCTTTTTATTCCAAGAAGTGTCTTGAACTGTGACTGTTGATGGAGAAAAGGAGTGGGTCCTCAGAGCGGTCACCGATGGAGCTCCTCCACCCCAGGGGCAGCGACTCCATGCCTCGCAGGTTCTCCCTGCTCCCCTCAGTGACTTACAGCGCCCACTCGCCTCTCATCCTGTCCCCAGTACTTGCTGAATTAGGATTTCTCCTCCAGTGGACACATCTTTACAAGTTTCAGTTTTTTGAAGGTAATTCTCAGCAGCTGGCCTGCCAACCTTTCCTTCACAGAATTGTGTTGCTTAATGAGGCCAGGTGCTTTGTAGTTTTTCATTTATTTAACTGTTAAAAAATGCATTTGTGAAGGGGAAGCTATCCCTAAGTTTGCTTACCAGCTATCGGAGTTACTAGTATGAAGTAAATTCCATATGTGCTTTCCTTATACAGGTGAAAGTTTTTGGTTTTAATTTTTATTTTATTTTTTGGTACTGGGGATCAAACTCGGGACCTTGTGCTTACAACGCAGGTGGTGGCACCACTGAGCTAAATCCCTGGCCGTTTTTAGTTAATAGATTACCAACACAGGAATCTAATCTTCACCATGTAACCTTTAACCGACTCCAGTCTTACACGTGCCAATTTATTATATTTTACATCCTGTTTCACCTCACTTGGATGCCTGGGATAGCAAAGTCCTTTTTTCTTTTCTTACGTGGGGTGCAGAAGTGGTGTAGGTCAGCAGGCCCCAGACATGGCTGGGGTGCTTGTGTGGATGGCAGATCCTGGGCCCGTCCCTGACCAGGTGTGAGGGACATTTTAAGAGACAGTGCCCATAAGGCAGTGGGTGTTCACACTTTACCCTCACAGAAACACAGATGCACCAGCCTGCATGTTAGAACAGGCCTTATTATTTATGATTTGCCTCAAGTTACCCCCTCACAGTGCTGCTCTGTAAATCCATCTGGAAAAGGACATTTTCCCCTACTCGAAGATGAGTGAAGCAGCCCGACGGCTTCCTAACAGTCGAGCTGAGCTATGTCGTGACCCAGGCCTGAGGAATTACATGTTTTCTACTTTAAGCGGGCCATGGAGACACACTGCCTCAGAGTTCCCTTGAAACTTTACGTGGAGCACGTGAAGAGTAACAGGAGCCCCGTACCGAGGAACCACTGAATATTTAAAAATTAATTATTTCAATAAGGAAATGCATGAAAATGGCGCTAAAGTCTTTGTGGAAATGAGTGCCCCGTCCTTGCTTCTGTCTCCCCTCTGGCTCTTCTTCGTAGGGACGAGCTTTCCCATTCGCTTAGCCCTGCTTTCTGGTCGGCGCCTTCAGCTTTTTCCAAATTACTCTCCAGCTTTCCAAGTGAATGCATGCATTAACACAGGTAATTAGTAAAGGCCTCCTAAATGCTAAGTCCTAGCAGTCCCCGGGCCGCCCGTTCTCCTGAGCAATGGCTTTTAACTTAGCAGTTTTCCCCCCTCAAATAATTATCGTTTATACTTTATATGTTATAGAGGGACTTCCTGGTAGGACAGACGCAGACTCAGCTCTTACACCACTTTCGTCTTCTCCTTTCATATCGTCCCGATAGTGACCAGACTCGGGGGCGGGCAGCCATCACAGCATCGAGACCGCGGTGTGTACACATTGCTCATTCTTGAGAAAAACAGCATTTCAGGGTTTTGCTTCCTGTAGTTTCCCCATCCATTTAACAACTACCTAATCACCCCCAGCCTGTCAACCTACATTTACATTTGCTTTCTCTTCAGTGACCTTCAACTGTCAATTTACTGATATTCCTACACCAGCTACCCAGCTGGGATAATCTGTGTTAACGATGGTCACTTTCTTTTTGGTTGATTTATTCCCTCATTTTGCTGAAGCATTTTCTTCAGTAGCTTTCTAAAAGATACATGGAGGGATCCCGAGTCTCTGCTTGCTTTTGAGTATTTAGCTGAGTGTAGATTATTTAGTTGAAAATAAATTTCTTCTCACAAGTTCAAAGGCATGGTTCTATTGTTTCTGGTTTTTCTTCTTTTTTCTTTTAATCCTAGGCATTGAACTCAGGGGTTTGTACATGTTAGGCAAACACTCTACTGCTAAGCCACACTTCCATCTCTCTCTCTCTCTTTTGCATTGTATGAAGACTGTGTTTATTACAGGGGAGGCACAATAAATGCAGAGCAAAGTCTGGCCCTCAATCCATCACCTAATGCCTTCCTGCCATGCTCTCAGATATTTAAACATCTCGCAAGCAGAAACCCTAGAGCTTTAAAATAAATATATTGTTAGCCCCTGGGACGAAAAATTAAGACAGGGAGATGTAAGCACCAAGCCCTTCACAGCAGTTCTCTGTCGATGAAAACAAGAGAGACAAATGCATTTTTTCTGAGCATGTGTTTAGGGTGAGGAGACAGCTTATTAGTTCAGTGTGGCATCTCCTCAGTTCTCTCCACATCCATTCGATGGGGTTCCTCCCCTCCTTGACTTTTATTCTCCAGCTGTGAAATGATGTTACATTTCATCCGATTTGAACAAAATCTATCCCCTTGAAGCAGTTTCCTTTAAGGCCCTGTGTATTTATTCAGAATCTACGAATCATGTTCTGATAACACAACCATAATTTTTTTTTTTTTTTTTGTACCGGAGATCGAACTCTAGTCCTTGCGCTTGTGAGGCAGGCAGCAGAACCACTGAGCTAAATCCCTGGCCCCCATAATTATTTTTAAAGTGTTTGTGGCTTTAATAGGAAATGCTCGCAAAAGCCCTTTTCTCTTTGATTGTTTGTAATCTTAGGAGTAATCGCTGCTGTGGCCTTCATGCACTGCAGCGGCCAAAACACAATTTCATTTTAATATGAATCGCGAGCTCTTCACCCAGGTTTTAATTAAAGCAATAAAGGCCATGTAATCTTTGCCCTTTACAATGCACAGACTCAGAGGCCAGAGTTACTAAGCCTAGAATTCTAGATTCCAACAAAAGTAGGCTCTCCTAGCTCCCCATCTATCTGTTGGGGAATGATTGTTTCCAGAAGCTTCAACTAACCCTATCTCTTGGAACTGCAGTTTCTTCATCTGTACAATGGGGCAGCATTTTCTTTCCGGTACCAGGGAACGAACTCAGGTCCTTGCGCTAACCAGGCAGTCATGGCGCCACTGAGCTACATCCCTGGCCCAACTTCCAACTCTATTTATTTTATGACAAGGTCTTGCTAAGTTCTCCGGCTGGCCTCGAACTTGCGATCCTCCTGCTTCAACCTGAGTCACTGGGATTACAGGTGTGTACCACCACACCGGCAATCCTTTAAATTCCCTTTTTCTTTCCTTTCTTAAAGGAATTTCAAAATCACTTGGTCTAAAACTATAATACAACTGTCAGAAAATCTGCTGCCTCCAACTTAACATATATCCCAAATCAGTTTCTCACTCTGCCCAAGCCTCACCCTGTGCTTCTAACGTGTCTCCATGTTTCTATTCTTTTTTGAATCTATAAAACATTTCAAGCAAACCATGTGTGGCTTTATACTTTTTTTACTACATAGAGAGCACAAAGGTCTCACACTCAAAAAACACACTGGATTGTGTGCGTGGCATTCACTGTTCCTGTGCCCGCCAGCAGCTTCTTTTTGCAAATACCAGGGACTCCTCCACTTAGCTCCACTGCTCGGGCCACTCTCAGGGTAGGGCGTGGGATGCCTGGGACAGGCCCAGGCCATTCTGCCTTCCACTTCTGGAATCTCAGGGGTGATGTGCTTATTATCCAAGGGGAACCTGCTCCTTGACCTTGGGCTGGCTTTTTTGTTTCTCTTTTCCATACCCTAATTGGTACTTTCTAGTACAGTACGAGTGACCAAAAAACTGTCTTCACTGAAATTTTGGTCCTGGGATCTGCTTTGGGGGAAACTTGTCTAACACAGTAACAGTCATTTTCCTGCCCCTGGACTTCCAGGTCATTTTAGTTTTTCAATTAAATGTAGGTAGTCTTCTCAGGATTTATCTGCCAGTGGAACTGCTGAGTTCAAGTGTATGTGTACCTTCATTCTTCCAAAGAGCATGAATAATCAGCTCTTTTTTGTTTTTTTCAGTACTGGAGATTGAACTCGGGACCTTATGCTTGCGAGACAGACATGGTACTGCTGTGCTAAATCCCCAACCCCACCTTTTTTTTTTTTTTTTTTTTGTGGTACCGGGGATCGAACTCGGGACCTTGTGCTTGTGAGGCAGGCGCCGGAACCACTAAGCTAAATCCCTGTAGAATTTTGTTCTTCTGTTGGGTTTCTGGAATCTTAACAATTCTATGCCTATGTGCCCCCACCTTTTTTTTTTTTTTTTTTATTAAGAGTCTCTGTTTTCCTGTATTTTGCCAATATGTTTTATTTTCAGTTCTGACTTCACAAATGTTCACAAACGCTGAGTGCATGTAGTGTTAAAAGTCTCTGATGTTTTTCAGTCCTTCCCTTCCAACAATTTTCTCCGCACATCAAGAAGATGTCAAGTGTTCTCATTCAGGTAAAAATACTGAAAGAGACAAGCCAACTCTTCCTCACCTAAAAGTCTGCTGTCTTCCAGGGGCTCAGTTTCCCAGGTAGACTCCAGATGGCCCAAGGCCCTTGGGGACTCATTTCTAACGCATTTACACGGTTCTGTAGACATTCCGTTTCTTCATCTTTTCTTTGGTTCTTTTCCAGCAGATCTCTCTTCTCCCAACGTATTTCTTCCAGAAGCTGCCCCTGCCTTTATCTGTTCAGACACTGGAGCTCAGATTCTTTGTTCTCCGTCAGCTCCCCGAGTTGCTATCTGCAGAGCATCAGCTGGTGGCACAAATTTTTCTGTTTTCTCTTTTAGTTCCTCACAGCCCCACTGAAGTTTAGTCTTACTTTCTGCTAACCAGTGACGTAGGTCATAATGTATATCAGGACCAGAAGATAAAGCTTTCAATCTCTCTATTGAGTCCCTGGACAAAGTTTTACAGCTGCATCAATTTCAAATTTCATTTTCAGTAATGTCAGTATGTAAGAAGTCTGACAATGCCAAGTGCTGGTAAGAATGGTGTGGAACCATGATGGGTGTGGAACCGTACCTGTACGTAGTTAACCCTACTCTCTCCTGTAGTGAGGACTGAACCCAGGGCCCCAGCACTCAGCTACAGCTCCAGCTTTTTAAAATCTTAAGACAGGTTGGGCTCAGAAATTTTGATCTTCCGGCCTCAGCCTCCCAGAGGCCTGGGATCATGGGCGTGCACCACTGCACCCACACACTCTCGCCTTTCTTTCCCAGCAGCGGGAAGACGCATCTGCATTTGCTGGCCACCTGAGTCTCCACGTCTACGTGGCCTGCTGCTTTTTCTTATCAAGGTCCAAGTTCTGTAAGTTCTGGCCACTGTAGTTTCCAGAGTATGTTCATAGCAGAGCACAGTTCCCTTAGGGTTCGTGATTCCTATGCAGTAGTGATTCCATTCTTCTGTGTAATGTGTTTCTCCTCTTTGTGGAAGGTTCTAGAAAATTCCTTTCTGCTTCTGATGTTCTGGGTCCTTACTGTACAGCTGAACATAAAGGGCTCAACTGATTATCTCAACCAGTTTTTTTATAAGAAGCAGATCTCCACAGCCCTAGCCACAGCAGATATGCCCAGTGAAGAAGCACCTAGCTCTGGTAATGTCAACTCTTTCAGCAGACTTCTGCCCCAGACATTCATACTGGAAAATCTGGGTACTACACACAATTTGTTTCTTTTATGTAGTCGTCTTTGGCATTTTTCTGTTAGTACCTCATTATTTTTATCTGCTGGAGAAGATTACATTGAGATACTTACTACTATCTTCATTGATATATGCGCTCTTCTCAAATTTGAAAGAAAAAGCTGCCAATATTTTTGGGTCCATGTCTTTGTCCAGAATTAACTTCTAGAAGTAGAAATTATGGTCTAAACCCAGAATATTCTGCATTTAAATTGATACTGCTAACTTATACTCTGAAAAGGTAGAAAATGCTGTATTTTTTGTATACCCAATAATACAAATCTGTTTATGTGATAGGAGACATGTTTTAATTTTCATTAATTTGGTAACATTTGGTTTTAATGTATGAATTTTGGCTTCTGGCAATAACCATTCTCAATACATACTCTTTGAACTTTTAATTTCAGCTATTGTATTTGTTATTACTTTTCTGTCTTGAAGGAGCAGTCTATTTTGTTCTGTCTTCGCAGTATCTCCTGGAGGCCCTCTGAAGACCAGGAGAAATTTCAGAGGTCTCAGCCTCTTCCTAGGAAGTCTCCTACCTGGTTCTTTACCGTCGCTGTGGAATATACTGCAGTCCAAAACTTACTGATTTCCCCTTTCAGTGAACAGAACGTTGTTCAGAAGTATTCTGTGTATAGAATGATTCGTGTTTACTACTTTGACCTGATTTTCCTTTAAAATGGGAGTTCTAGGCATTTTGTTTCTAATCCACGTCTTCCCTTTGGATGAGCCTGCCTTGTTCCTATCTCTGTAGGTCCTCACCTGGGCAGGACTCTCCAGTTTGGATCCCTCACAGATGTGCCACCTGAGCAGGGGCTGCACTCAGTCGTGGGCCTGGCACGGGAGACCAAGACAGTCAGAGCTGGAAATGTTTCTTACATGGTATCTGTTTAGAAAAACTACCCAGAGATGAAAAGTCAGAACAAGTCTTTTTTCCTAATATATAAACACATGTTTTTAGAAGGAAGGGGAACAACTTGAAATAGACCAGAATACACCTTCATATTAATCGTTCTTTTCATATACTTCAAATTTGTACGTAACGCCTTTCTCCTCCTGGACCTCAGAAAGCACACCTGGGTATCTGTAAAAGAAACAGGTATGTGATTATTAAATTATGCACCCATGGGACACAAAACTCCCTGCCTCCTCATCCAAAAGGCATCCACAGTGCTCAAATTCTTTCCTCTCCCTTCACCATAGTGAGTGCTGGGAAGGGGGTACCAGGCAAATGCCCGACACATGTAAATGGTAAGGAAAGGTGTATCAAGGCAAGCTGTACCATGTTAGAGAGCAAACAGCCTAATTTCTCCTCCTTTCCTTCTGATTCCTGTTTTCTCGAAAACTAACCATGGATAGGAGTTTCTCTTATACCTTTTTACTCTATCCCTGAGCTAATATGAAACTTCCTAAGAATATTTTGTAAATTTTACAGTAGGTATCACATTCCACAATACCTGAAAGGGCAAAAACACCATAAATATTAGTTACCGACTAGTTTGTTACCTATTAGTTACCGACTAGTTTGTTCTGTCTGCTTAACTGTCTTATAAACTCCCTGTAGGCAGGACAATACAGGAGAACTTCTCACTCTCTTAGGACATATTGTATGTTGCTGAGCAGCAACAGGCATCAGTATTTGATGGCTAATTAGACATTATGCCATTCTGATAAAAACATAATTAGAGATAAGCAATAACAGCAGCATAACAATATGTGGAGAGAAGAAAAAGGTGTTTCCTATGGAATAAATTATATTTCAGAATAAACAGCGACGCCTACCATTCTGAGCTATGCTGCTCCACTATTTTAGTAGTAGTATAGCCCTTCGCTGTTAAGAATGGTTTTAGTAGGTCAATTTTAAACTGTAATTTTAGTGTCTTATGAATGAATCATGAGTGGCCAGGGATGTAGCTCAGTGGTGCTGTCGCCTGCCTCGTAAGCTCAAGGTCCTGAGTTTGATCCCCATACCAAAAAAAAAAAAAAAGAAATCATGAAAAGTAACATTTGCATTTTTTGGTGCAAATTCTCGGCAGTGTCAGGATTGTTCGTTGAGAAGAGGAGAGCAAAGTACCAAAGTATCAGGAGGTTCTCTCTAAAACCATGAGCAACAATAACTTGGAAAACACTGCATTACTGCCTAAGTTTGATCAGTATCCATGGCATTCATGTTAAGCGTCACTGGGAAATTAAAATTTAATTATGCGTAATTTTCTTTTTTACTTCCCTAATAACTACTTGTGCAGTCTGTTTTAAAAATGGTTAGAATTACCTCAGAACCCTAACTCCAAACTTTCTGAAAGAACAAACTGCCTGGGGACATACTTGGATGACAAGTCCAAGTCTGACAAGACCTGGTGCCATGGCCTTTGCTGGAGTCACCCAGAGAGGCTCCTCTGGGTCAGTTAGCTGTTGGCCCTGAGGTGACACTGGAGACAGCCACCTCAGACAGAAGATGGCTCATTATGCCCATGGCCTCAGCGACTTTACTCTGCGGGTGGTTGGCCCAAACCCCGGCATGAGGCAGCACGTGGTGATGGGAGTGTCATGGCCACCAGAACTGTGGAGACAGGAAGGGGCGGGTCCATACCCTCTAAGTACATGCCCCCAATGACCTCACTTCCTTCCACAAGGCTCTGGCTGCTAACGGTCCCATCTGCTAACAGTGCCATGGAGGGGGACTGAGCCGCCAGCACATGGGCCTTTAGGGACATTCCAGATTTGAACGCCAGCACCCTTTAAGGCTTACAGAACTAAGAAAGCTCACGACTGTGAACGAACAGCAGGTCTGACCTGATGGAGAGCCACAGGAACAAGCCTGAGACGATTTAATAGGAGATCCAAGAGCTAACAGATTTCTGGAAACCATGAAAACCAAACTGTAATCAAAATAAACTCAAGACTCCTTAGGAAGCACAGGAAAATGACACACATGTCCCATGGACTAATGTGCCAGCGGTTTTGTTTGTTATGACAGACTTCCAGGGACAAGGCATGTTTCCTTTCCAGAGGGTTCATTTTTCCCCACTTAACAAAGGACCGAGCTACACCACATGTCCCCTTGGGGGTCCCTCCCTCCATCAGGGTAAGGGGCGGCTGTGATGTCAGCACAAGTCCAGAAGTACAGATACCTGTCAAATGCTCAATGGAAAGAAAGAACTTTTCATTTGCTTCCAAAGCCCGGTATAGAATGTCCATTTTGGAGAACGGTTCTTGTTTCTTTCTCAATCCACTCAGCATTAAAGTTTTCTAAGACATTTAATGAAGATGTATTGTCAACTCTTCACACAGCCTTCCCCACAAAAAAGAAGAGGAAAGGATATTTCTCAGTTCATCCTGCAAGTTCAGTATTACTCTGACTCCCAAACCAGGTGAAGACATTTAAAAAGAAGGAAACAGTAAACAACAAAAATACAGACCAACTGACACTGCTGAATATACTTTGAAGAGTCAGAGTTAGGGGATGGGAATGACACTCCAGTAAAGATGTTAAAATTTCCTTTTTAGAAAGCCTGAACAGTAAGTGCTTAAATGATCAGGATCCAAAGCGTCACAACTAGGGAGAGATCTGACTGGACGCAGTAAGACTTGGAAAGGTATTTAAATGCAGCGCACAGTAGTCTGTTCTCGCTGCTCACAGCAACGGGGAAGATAAGCAGTGACGGAGAGCTGAGTTCAACACGCACATGTGTGAGGGTCGGCAATCTACACAGCAGAGGAAACATGTCGGGCATGAACGCGTGAAGGAGGAGTGAGCACATGACGAACTGTTCTGCGAGATGCTTCCAAGCAGTAATCCTCGGAGCCCACGTGACAGCCTGCCCTCCGGCATAGCCCGCTCTCTTTCACAGCTTTGCCAGCCTCGAGAGCCCGACACGTGTCGCTCACTTCCGCTGGCCGCAGATGACCAGCGGAGGGCCGCGGTGACACACAGCCCTCACTCGGTCTCGACTCCCTTCCAACACATGCACACTCCAGTGCTACCCAGACACGGCTGCATGCGGGGTGGCGACGGCGCTCAGGGCAGGCCTCAGAGCCTTCATCTACTTCAACTTTCACTTTCAAGTGCTCTTAAACTCAAAGGTTAGGCATTTCCGTCATCAGGCAGCTTCCGGCCGGGTCCCAAGTGTGGCCTGAGTCCCTGTCACCGTCACGCCTTAAGCTAAGTCCTCTCCCCTTTCACCTGAGCTACTGCAACCAGCCGGACGGGTCCCCCAGTGTCACCCTTCTTCCCACAAGGCTTGCACACTGAGCTACATCCCTCCCCGGCCCTTTCAGATTTTGAGACGGGGACCCCGTGGGCTGGAACTTGCAGTCCTTCTGCCTCAGCCTCCCAGAGTGCTGGGACTACAGGCTGCACCACTGCACCCAGCTCCACTCTTGTCCCTCTCTGGCCTGTTCCCCTTAAAGCAGCTGAGCAGTGTCGCTCTCTCCGGAGCCCTCAGCACCCGCGCCAGGCCAGGCCTGACCCCTGCCGACTATCGCACTGCCCACTGCTCACCGCCTGACACTGGCCCTGAGCTCGGAACAGGCCAGCCCCTCCCGCCTCAGCCTCTGCACTGGCTCCTGCTGGCGCCCTGATGTCAGGTCTCAGGACGGTCACTCTTTAGCGCGGATTTCCCAGGCCACGTCCACCACATGCCAGCCTCTCCGCTCCGACCACAGAGGGGATAGACTCCCTAGGGAGCGCCGAGAGCACCTGGCTGCCCGGGAAGAACTGGTGACTGTTCTTCCCAACTGGGAACCCGAGCACTTCCAGGTCGATGAGGGAGATTTCCAAAAACTCCCACAGCATGGCTCATCACATTACTACCCTGCACCTATTCTGGAAATAAAGAGAATACTCTTCTCTGTAATTCTTAGGTGGGACATGTGCTTCAGGCTAACAACTTCATACTTACTTGGGGAGGAGCCTGTATTTCTTCAGATCAATTTCTGGAAAAAATGTGTCACTTTCAAATTCCTGCATGATCCTTGTCACAAACAGCTTGACATGGCCGGGCCGATCCATGACTTCCTTTGAAATAAACCAAAAGGCATCAGCTTCCTTAATGACCAAAGACAGAAGCCCCAGGATTTCAGTGTCATCAGCTGAGTTTATTCCAGGAGGCTCCACATCAGCGCTGACGGTGCAGCAAGCTGTGTGTTCAGCCCAGAGTAACTTAACTGCACTATGACCTGGGCACTGTGGGATTGTGCATTCACAGGCCAGAGTACCTGCAGTGTGAAACACACGAGCGTGGCACTGTGGGACGAGCCCCATCCACAGGGCCCGGGGGTGGGCTGGCTGCACATCCACGTGCCCGGGACACAAGGCCAAGCTGTCCCTGACGGTTTCCCGTCTGCACCGCTCAAGCGGAGCACTGACGGTCAAATGCTGCGCGTGCACTTGGATGTGTACGGGGCTACAGAGCCTGCTTCCAGGGCACACAGTGCAGACTCATTCCAAGTGTACTGGACAAAACCAAGGACTTGCTTTATAGAAGAAACCCGTGTTGGTTGATAAGATTAGGGGAAGTCCCCCCCCGCCCCAGGAAGAACAGGGCAAGTGCTGCAGAACCAGGGGCTGAGAGTTTTTGGAGCCCCATCTAGGGTGAGCTACCGCATCTTTCTCCAGTAATTTCCATGCATATCCATTATCCATTACCCTAAGTCACAAGGGGAGGTGCTGATATTCTTCTTCCCCATAGATGTTAATCTTTCGTTCATATTTTAAAAGACTCAGAGTTCTATGTATTATCCTCAAAAATTTAAAAATCTGCAAGTCATTTTGTATCAGGAAAACATGCATTTTCTCTTTGATATACTAGATTTCCAGACAATACGAAATCATGGAACCTTTCTCCTGGGCCCTCACAGTCCATGAGAATTGTTGAGGAAAAGCCTTCTGCTTTTAAGAAAGTCACACACACAGGTCCGTGTGTCAGGTGAGAGCCGAGGGCCCATCGTTCTGTAAGTGATCAGCACACGTCAGCACATGGATCCCACAGGGCAGGGCTAACAGCACGCACAGGGCGCATCCCGAAGCACAGAACAGTGGGATTTCCACGGAGGAATTCAGAATGGCTTCCAGACTGCAAACACCACCCAGTGTCCTGGGCTGAAACCTAAGTGGTATGTGGCGAGCTGCTGTGCAAGGGATACAGAACCTCACTTAGGAGAAGTAAGTTCTAGAGCCCTACTGCACACGATGTTACTGTGCTCCTGGAAACTGCTGGCTGATTTTAAGAGCACTGATCGCAAAAAGTGAGATAATGCCTATGTTAATGTGGGTGAGGTCATAAGCATCATGCATGTGTATTTCAAAACACTGTATATAACATGGACATGCAATTTACATGTACATGTGTTTACTGTGCTGCTTCCTATCTCACGGCTGGATTCTTTAAGTTTCACACAATGGGCCACGCGCTGTCCCCTAACGTCTGGAGAAATGGCTTGGGGGCTGAGGAGGCGGGGATGAGGACCCCTCGCACTGCCGGCAGCTGTACCTACCTTGTACACAGAACTGCCGCCCACTATCCACACCATGTCCACTTTGCTTGCTAATTCCGGTTGCTCAATAAGCTTCAAGGCATCATCCAGACTTTGGGCAAGAAAATGGGCCCCTCGTGGAGGTTCCCTGAGTTAAAAAGAAAATCACACAGTTTGCAGAACCCATCCATGAGTCCAGTGATCCAAGCAAGAAGCACTGATCACGAAACTAAAACCACACATCTGAGCCCTTCTGACAAAAAGCACTTAGCATCGGTACAGCTCATGACTGATACTCAACCTGCCTTTGTGCATCTATGGTTTGGGTACATCAAAAACAAAAACCATGAGTGTTATCTCGTGGAGGAAAAATACCAGAACAGTAGCTGTGTCTGCAGTAGTGTGTAAAGATTAACCAGACAGGGCTCGAGGGAGCTTTATAGGGTTACAATAATATTCTGTGTCTTTGATAGGGGTTTGGTTACACAGGTGTAAACTGTCAAAACTTAGCAAGTGGACAGTTATGACTTATCTTCCTCATTGTCTGTAATGTTTACCCAAAAGAAAAAACTGAATACTGAATTCTTCTTAATGATATGTGCAGAATGTTGAGGAAATACATTAACGCCTGCGATTTATCTTGAAATGTACACACAGACAGTACCCACTGATGGATGAATGGACATGTGTTAAACCAGCAGAAAGGAAGTTTTGGCACAATGGAAGTGGTAGTTATACATCTATTTAATGTAAAGATCTTTGTGTTGAAAATTTTCATGATAAGATGCTGGAAAAAGAATATATGAATGAGTGTAGAAAATGTCTGGAATGATATTCAAACTTTCACGTTTTGAACAATACAAGAATGAGTTAAGTATCTGAAAATGAATTTGTTACTAATTATGCAATTAAAAGTACAAAGGGAAAAAAGTGAAATAATTTATGCCTCTCAACCTCCAGGACTAAGTGGTGTCCTCGTGTGTGTCCGTCCGTCCGTCTGACCCTTCCCCCAGGTGGAGAAGAGGGTTGCCTTTCTCTTTTAAATAAAGAAACATGCAGAAGGAGGCTTTCAGAGTAATTAGACACAGAACAGAAATTCCAATTCAACATCAAGTTGTTAGCCTGGTGTTTTCTTTTCTTTTTTTAGTACCGGGAATCGAACTCAGGTCCTTTCGAGGCAGGCAGTGGAACCACTGAGCTAAATCCCTGGCCCTTAGCCTGGTGTTTTAAAGAGATTGTAGAACTGCCTGTGAACTAGTAGTTCTGACAATGATTAATCAAGAGGTAATGGGGATTGTTCATTCTCTTGGTTGCTTCCTGTCTTCCTGAAACGTAGCTGACTGGGGCCGGGGATGTAGCTCAGCGGTGCCGCCGCCTGCCTCGGAAGCACAAGGTCCTGAGTTGGATTCCCAGAACCAAAAAAAAAAAAGTTGCTGATTTCACTGTGTCATCTGTAAAGGACTTAGAACAAAGCAAAGAATATACTTTGACTCAGCCAGAAGAAGAAATTAAGGCCAGGGTAAAGTTAAGTGAGCCGAGCTATGCCCAAGGTGCCAGGGCAGTCAGGCGACTGTGTGAGAGCAGGCTGTTCGGGGAAGGAGTTGAACCCAGCAGAGAGAGATCTGGAGTTGGGCAGGAAGATGGTGCATGCCAGTGGTGGCGAAGCCTGTGCAGCATTCGGTGACCCCAACAGCCTGCTGGGGCACGCGGGCCATAGGTCTGCCACCCCCGGTCTGGCCGATCAACCAAGCGCAGCAGGGCGGAAGCAGTCACGTGGTTTGCCAGGGAGGATGCCGAGGTCAGGACTGGGGAAGGGAGATGGAGGGAGGTGAAAAGCTCGACTGAAGAGCTGAGGTGGGAGAAGAGCAACGCGATTTCCCAGTGGTGGAAATGGGTGGCGTACAAGTGGCTCAAAGAAAGAGGGCAGTAATTCGGGGAACGCTGGGACACACTGGCTTGAACGTGGCCCCGGGGTGGGTGAAGGCCACTTCCCCAGCCTGTGAGGGAGACTGGAAAGAGGAACCATGGTGAGACAAGAGGTCTGTTTCTGGTTTAAGTGGCAGCAGAGGCATGGAGGAGAACCTTTGCCAGTGTTGCTGGCTGGCAGTTTAGCAGCGTCTCACAGGGACCCTGCACCCCGGATCCCAGACAGCTAAGGCAACAGGCAGAAGGCTGAGCCAGTGCTCGAGGTCACCGGCCCCTGCCTGGCCGCTCCCCGGAAAGGGACACGGCGCGATGCACGCCGTGACTCATTTCACTGCTGTCTTTCCCTCCTACAAGTTCTCAAACCAGCCCAGGTAAGAGTCTCTGACAACAGAGAGCGGCATCAGCTCGGGTGGGAGAGGGTGGCGCCCAATTCCTTTGCTGGGCGCTGGAGGACAGAAAGACCAGTGCAAAGCAGAGGCAAGCGGCCACGACAGGCCGGGTCAAGAGCGACAGCAGAGCTGCTTGGCTCCAGAAAGCCCAGAGAAGGCCGAGGGGCTCAGAACACAATCGGTCCTGGGGTCTCACACACTACAGGGCAGGATTAAAGAGGAAGGGTCCAGGTCAGAGAAAATGGAGTCTGGAGTAAAGCAGGGGAGAGGGGAAGGGCTGACACAGGAGGGGACTTCCGTCTCAAGACGGAGGGAAGCAAGAACGCCACAGTAGGACAAACGGGGCACCAAGCCCGGTCCTTGGGACTGCCAGGTCACTATTTTCAGCACAATATAAGGTAGTGGGGTCGGGGTAGGGAGGGACACCCGGATCTGTAGGGCACCTGCACGCTGGAACCACACACACGCAGCAGGTACGAGGTCGTGGGCCAGGAAGCTCACCTGCCCTGCCAAGGCCCCGAAGCCACCGGCGCCAGGGCCAACAGTGTCCGCCACGCAGCGTGTGCAGAGAGGACCAGGACAGGCTCCACGAGGAGAGACTTGCAGTCACCACCAGGGGGCGGCAGCGGGCGCCAAGACACGGCTGTGCCCGACAGCAGAGCGCCGCCAAGGACGCGAGAGCATCCGCCTCTCGACTCGCAGGGCAACGCTGGGCTCCAGGAGAGACCACAGCACCCCGGGCGCACAGCAGTCATGTTGGGGCCCGAGACCCTCAAAACAGCTGTGCTGAGCCGCGAGTCCCATGCCGCACAGCGCCCCCTTTCAAGGTGTACAATTCAGCCGGGCCCTCACCACCACGTGACACCCAGAAACCTGTCCACGTCAGCAGCCCCGCCCCTGCCCCGTTCTTCCCAAGCCCCGACCTGGCTGAGCAGAAGCTTTGGAAAGGCGCCTCTCCTGACACTTTGTGAAGTGCGGAGCTCCAGCGAATAACTGGTGTAGCAGAGAACTGCAGGCTGCGCTGAGGACTCGGCTTCTTCCTCCACGGGGTGTAAACTGAGTACCTCTAAGAGCAACTCCCTGCCCTCGTGTGCAGGACCAGCAGCATCTGGCACATGGCAGGTGCCCAATAAGTGCATGCAACTGACCAGCACGTAGAGAAGCAGGGGAATAAACAAAACGCGAACCTTAATAAAATCTGTTACTACTAAGGGCAGTCATTTCTCTGGCATGCTCACTAAGAAAGACTACATTTTCTCAGCCTTTAAAAAAAAGCAAAAGATATCGACAAATGCTACATATAAATACATAAGAAGCAAGCAAACCTAATGACACCCGCCACAGCGGGGCATGAAGAAGAAACGAGACTCATCATTTCAGGAGCGTGGGCTTAACAACCTCTCCAGCGAGGCTACTGTAGGCTGGTTTCAGCCCAAGCTAGCCATAAATACTCCACAGTAGCTCTCAACAAGATGTTATTACAGCGGCCCTGGGAACAGCGATGCAGGCTGCGACCTGGATCCTAGCAGGCAGAGACAATCAGAATATCCTAGCAACTAGGCAGAAGAGCAGCACAGGGGCAGACGGCGGGGCTCCCATCTGTGGAGGAACCGAGGCAAACACCCTGCTCACTGCATCAGGGATGGCTTCAGGAGGGGCCACGTGAGCCCAGACCCCTCAGCCCTCAGCTGGGGCCGGTTTTCCTCCCCAGGGGCGCTAAGGTGGCAGGCACTGGTTCCTGGTCACTCAGACACCAGCGCAGGTGTGGCTGTCACGGTGTCTGGCCGTGATGATAGTGTTGCTAGCTGACTTTAGTCAGGTGGGCCTGAGCCATCAGCTGAAAGGTCTCATGAGCAGGGCTGAGGCCTCCTGGGAGAGGAACTCGCACTCCAGTAGCTTCGGCCCTGCTGCAGAGCTCCCGCCTGCCCTTCCTGGCTGCTTGTGCAGATTTCTGCACTCACAGGGCCAGACCCCCACTGTGACCCCATTCCCGGAAACTGGATTCTCTGGTTGGACCCTGACCCAAACACACAGGAAGGAATGTTATGCCCACTGTGCTCAGGAAGTGCCCAAGGACACTGTGTTCTTTTCCTGACCACCTCCTCAGTGCACAGGAAGCGTGCTCGCCATGGTGACACCCAATGTCTCCCTTAATTCTGGTCCCTTCACCCACCCCACCAAATAAAACCAAACCACTGTAATTCCAGCACTCAGGAGACTGAGGCAGGAGGGGTGCCATGAGTTCAAGGCCAGCCTGAACTGCAGTGTGAGACTCTATCAAAAAAAAAAAAAAAGCCAAACCAAAGCACCCAGAGATTAGCAAGTTATTCTAGGTGATGGCTGATGTCAATGGCAACGAGAACAAAACCAAATTGGGGCCAGGGATTTAGCTCAGTGGTTCTGCAGCCTGCCTTGCAAGTGCAAGGTCCTGCGTTTGATCTCCGGTACCAAAAACAAAACAAAAAAACCAAAAAAGAACAAAACCAAATAGAAACCAGGATTCATCACATACAGAATAAAGGATGTCAAAGCCGCAGTCAAAGTGAAAGCACTGGAGCTGACTTCAGAGGCATCTGGGCATTCCTGCCATCCCCCAGTCTCCAGGGCTTTTCCGGGCATCAGGAACTGCGGATTCCAGTGCTTGGAGGACAAGAAATTCTTAGAAGATGTCAGTTTTAGACACTTCCTAATCCTGAGGACTCCAGAACGATTTCAGTACTTGCAAAGACTTTACCTTCAGACTCCCAGTGAAGCACACAAGTACAAAGCGTTATTTGGATGTTATGGCTAACAGAAAATTATTGATCACACTGTGCAACTTTAAGCCTACTGACTCTTGAAAACTGTTATTGTAATGAGATTTCATGTTTAATGTAACATTCAAAAAAATCAGTAAAGCAGCAGAATAGTCATTTACTGTAACAGCTTATTCAGTTTCCTGTCATTGCCTCTATGATATTAACCAGCCTCATCAATGCTACTTTTATACTATATTACTGTTCTGTACTCCCAGAAATGGGACACGATTGTGTTGTGGTCAGTTCACATTTACGGTACTTACTTGAGTTCTCTACTTAGTACTATATTAATTCTGTCCTTCAAAGGTCGATTCTTCTCAGGAATGGAGAACCAGGTCTTCCTTCCCATAATCACCAGATTCTGTTTACCTATAAAATCACACAGAAACAATAAATTCATTTTGGGGTATGTATTTTCACATCATCACACACATATGCACAGATATGACTGTCATGGCGCCATCTAGTGGACTTTCTTTAAAAAGGCAAACCAACGTAGGGGATAAAGAGTACTTGCCTAGCATGCAGACCCTGGGTTCCACCCCAGCACTGCAAAACAACAACAACAAAAACAAACCAACCCAACAAAACCCCCAACAACACCAAAACAGCTTTATCACAATCCACATTTATCACTTTTTACCTAAATATGGTACCTATTTTTCCCTTTGGCTTTATCCAATTTATAACCAATATTTAGTTTGAATCAGTTCCAACATGGATAATGTAGTAAAGACTCCAGGTCAAAGTGTTCAAGTTGAATGCATTCTGTAATCCACTAGATAAGTCTTGTTAACTCTGTGCTTTACTTTCCTTAGCTATAAAATTGACGTAAGAACAGTTCTCACTGCTACAATTGTTGAGGGTACTAAAGACTTAGAACAATGCTCAGCAGCGAATAAGTATGGTTACAACTGTTTGATATAATCTGACTACTCGTTATTTCTGTCCTTTGTAGTTTTAGGTTGTCACATTTAAAAAGGTAGATCCTTAATGTTCTACTCAATTTATCTTAAAATACGTTCAGCTGTGTCTATCCTTTTCTTCTATAAATACTTTATACATATAGGTCCTATTTTTTAATTACTTAGGAGGAAAAAATCTTGAGAGTTAAAAGACATCTGGATCAAAAGAGCACTAAATTACTTGTTCAGACTCAGGAACCTCGAGAGCGGTTCGTGTCAGGTCCTCAACCTTTACTACACAGACATTTCGTAGGTGTTATTCCGGGCAGCCCTGCATGCATCCCATCCTCTCTTCTTATAATCCTCTTCTCTCCTACAGCTCAAAGCACTAGTGAAAACCGTGCTCATTACCACTGTTACAACTGCACACGATTCTCACAGCCTTGTTCTCCCGACACTCAACATCTAGTATCATAAAAATTGTTTTTAAAAGTTTTTGTCCTTTCTTCTCCATGGCCCTGACTCAGGCTTTGTCATCTGTCGCTTCTAGCAGCTATTCCAAGACCTCCTCTTGGCCAGGCTGTGCAGGGCTGCAATCCTAGCACCCAGAAGGCTGAAGCAGGAAGATCGAGAGCAAGTTTGAGGCCAGCCTGGGGTTCACAGTGAGACCGTTCTGAAGAAACTCAAATAACCAAAAGCCCAAGTAAAAGCCCTCCTCTGGGCTCCATTACAAGTGCCACCCCTCTGCACCCAGCCTTCCACTTCGCTGCCAACTGTGTCCAACACCCGACTTGTACACGAGCGCTGGCATAACATTTCTAAAAAAGCAGATCAACGAAGGATTCTCGATGAACCTCGGGAACTGCGTCCAGATCGTGGTGAGAGAAAAGATCCCAGCGGAGCGCGGGAGACTTCCCTTGAAACACGTTCCTGGACAGCAGCCTTCCCCAACCCCGTAGGAACCGCGTTACCTTCCACGGAGGAGGTTGTGGTCATCCTCTGGAAATACCTGAATTCATTCCTGTAAGGGAGAGACGGGTGTCACTTAGGGGTCTCCGCGGGGCGGCGTCCCCAGTACCCGGGTTTTGCTCTGCGGCCCCGGAGTCCGGGGGCCCAGGCTTGGCCGAGGTCGCGCTGCAGTCGCCCCCAACCGGCCGGGCAGGTACCTGAGCGGGGGCCAGGGCAGGTCCCCGTTCCTGCCGATGCCCATGTTCTGGGACACGGCGACGATGCAGTTCAGCGGGCGGACCATGGCGGCGGCGGCGGTCGGCTCCCGGATGGCTCAGGCGGACCCGGGTCCCAGAGTTTGGCGCGAAACCACGGCCGCATCCCGCCTCCGCGCCATTGGCGCAGGCGCGGTCCCACCCTCCCATCCCTATTGGTGCGTATGCCACCCCGCCCCTCAGCCCCATTGGCGCAGGCGTAGCGCGGCCCGCTCCTCTCCCCGCAGGCGAGGTCCGCGGCGTGCTCGCGCCCGCACCCGTCCGGGCACCCGCTCTCACCCTAGCTACCCCGCCTTTCCGCCCCGCGATGTCGCGCCGTAAGCCGGCGTCGGGCGGTGTGGCTCCTGCGAGCCCGGCACCCAGGAGGCAGGCCGTTTTGAGCCGGTTTTTCCAACCCGCTGGAAGCCTGAAATCTACCTCGTCCCCGACTGGCGCTGCCGACCAGGCCGACTCTGCCTCCTCAGCCTCCTCAGCGCCCCCAGCGTCCACCGTCGTGCCTGCGTCAGCGCCGCCGCAGGTGGGTTCTGCCCGGGAGGGGCGGGGCCTTTGGACCAGCCGGCGCCTGTGGGCGGGGAGGCAGGAGGCAGGACCTCGCGCAAGAACCCGCGAGATGCTGGGCTCGGGAGAAAGGGGCGTGGTATGGCCGAGGAACGGGTGGTCGGGGCGGAGAGAGAGGGCGGGTGGGCGGAGA